GGTTAGTCATTATATCACTGCAGAATGCTTGCTTACACTTTATTATAGTATGATATACCCATATCTGTCTTATTGCAATGTAATTTGGGGAAGTACATTTCCCACAACTTTGCCTAAAATTTTGGGTCTTCAAAAACGATTAGTTAGAATTGCAACTCGATCAGATTATCATTTTCCTTCTGCTCCTCTGTTTAGGAATTTATAGATTCTTACTATTTATAACATTAACATTTTTCAAATTTGTATTTTTGTTTATAAGATTTATGTAAGAGGACATACCAACGCATTTCACCCATTACTTTAAATCAAATACGCAGTTTCAGTCTTACTTAACTCACCAGAGTCCAGCGCTTCATCTTCTTAAACATCAGACCAGCAGAGGTCAGTTTTCTCTCCGTTACAGTGGAGCTAAAGTTAGGAATGATTTTTTACATTTGGTAACAGACAGGCCTTCTGTAAAATACTTTAAACTTTATTTAAAACTTTACTTAATTAAGGAATTGTGATTGTCCCTTTTTAATTGTTACATAGTTGTTCAAATTTCCATTAATACTTTGTAGATGTGTTTTGTTTTTCTGTGTGACTGTATTCCTAAATTTATGATCAATTGACTGTATTCTTGGATTGCATTGTATTATTTATATGTATTGGGTGGAGGCTTTATATAAGTCCACTGGGCTTCTGCCTCTTTCTGCACTGTTATAATTAATATCTTGGATCTGTATTTTAATTGTGCGAACTAAACTAAAGATGTTTTGCTTTAAGTTGTCTATCTTGATGCTTTGAGGTCTTTCTTGGCTGTTCCTACTCTTCCCTTGAAAAACTTCCCATTTTGTTTGCACTGTCTGGATTTAATACACAGCAGACTGGAATCAAACACATTTTGCATCAAGTTATTAAATCCTCTCTGTTTCAACGAGCACTTCTCTCGTTGGCGCCATGATTCATGTCAATCTGCAACAGCGCTCCAAGTTATGAGCCTCTTTTTTTTAACCTGGAGATTAATTTGCAGATTTAATCTGATGGAGGCATTCCTTTCAAAACTTCAAATTACTGTGATTTATTTTACTGCATCTAAAATTGGGGAGTGGTGGCGCAGAGGGCCTGTGATCGGAAGATCACCGGTTCAAGCCCCGGTACCGACAACATCAAAATGTGGGTGGGGCAGGTGAAGCACCCACACCTGCCCCCACCCTCGTTTGTCCCACTCTGGGCCCTTGAGCAAGGCCCTTAACCCCCACCATCTGCTCCTCCGGGTGTTAGCAGCTCTCTGCTCCACACAGAGGGCTGTGGTAGCTCGGTGTCTGTGGTTGTGTCAGGAAGAACATCCGGTGTAAAAATAACTGCCAAGTCTTCGTGCGACCTAGTTCGCTGTGGCGACCCCTGAAGAAGGGAGCAGCCGAAAGAAGAAGAAGAAAGAAGAAGATGTTACTGCATCTAAAATAGTATTTGTGACCGACTACAACAATTCAACAAGGGATGAACCAGTGTTGTATCGCCACATAAGAAGCAACAAGTGCTGACCCTGGGCGTCTGGCTTGCTTGTTGTTTGTTAGTTTTTTGATCTATTATATCGTATTTTATTGTATTTTTTTATATAATACTGCAGAACAGTTTATGCTTGGAAAACATGGCAAGAAATATGTTAACAAAATTACTGGTCTGGCTCGTGTTTTGGACTATATGGGGCATTTTAAATGCTGAGAGCAGGCCGTTTGGATACACGGAACAGTGGATTACCTACTCTCGGAATTACCTGCTGACTTTTCAACAAACCAGCACTTCTCCCCCGACCCTTCTCCACAGCTGCCCGGAAATAACCCAGTCAGTAAATCAATCAGGCACCGGTACAGCCAAAAAGAAAATGCGTGGATCCAGAGGAGGAATACGGAACCGGCTTAAAAGGAGGGGCAGCCGCTTCCCCCTCCCGACAATCACGCTCTCCAACGTGCGTTCAATAAGGAACAAGATGGAGCAGTTATCTGGACTTTTGAAATATGACAGAGACTTCAGGAGATCCAACCTTCTATGGTTCACTGAGTCCTGGCTTATGGAGAACGATGACGTCACTGACCTGGAGGGATATACGACACTCCGTTTTGACAGAGACACACAGCGCACGGAGAAAAGCATTGGAGGTGGGTTGTGCATGTTTGTGGATAATCGCTGGGCAGCAAACATGACGATCTGTGGGACTGACTGTTCAAAACACTATGAGATCATGACTGTATCCTTTCGCCCTTACTATCTGCCCCGTGAGTTCAGACAGATCACTGTGATTCTGGTTTACGTGCCCGGCCCAGACTTCACTTTAGCAGCTGAGCGCATAACTGACAGCTACACCAAGGCACAACGTCACTCTGTGGATGACCCCATCTTCCTACTTGGCGACTTTAATGGTTGTGATATTCCCACTTATCTCCCGAACTTAGAACAATATGTGACCTGTCTGACACGAAAAGACAAGACTCTTGATAAATGTTTTGGTAACTTGGAGGGTGCTTATGTGGCCAGGTGTTGCCCACCCCTCGGCCAGTCTGACCATAACGTCATCCACCTGCTGCCAAAATATCGTCAGAAAGTGAAGAGGGAGAAACCTGCTGTTAAGACTGTTCAGTGCTGGACAACGGACTCTGTTGATGAGCTGAGGACTTGTTTTGAACTGACTGACTGGAGCCTGTTCTTCAGCGAGGAGGTCTCTGCTGAAAACTCTGAACTGCTGAACTTTACCATCACCAGTTACATTAAATTTTGTGTGGATAATATTATAAAAACAAAAACAGTTAGATTTTACCCTAATAATAAACCTTGGGTAAATAAAGAAATGAAGCATCTTTTAAACCAAAAGAAAGCAGCTTTTAGAGGAGGAGACGTGCAAAAGATGAGGGAACTAGAGAAGGAAATAAGTTGCATGATTAAGAAAGTTAAAATAAATTATAAAGATAAAGTTGAGAGGGAACTGAGTAATGGCAATGCAAGAGATGCCTGGAGGGGACTGAACACAATAATAGGGAGGAAACAAAAAGATCCCTTCAGCACACTGACCCTTTTGGTCTTGCAAATAAACTAAATGCTCATTATTCAAGATTTGACATCCATGACTTCAGTGATGAGATTGACTCTTTCTGTGCAGCCTTGACACCAACTCCTGTGGAATTACAGGAGAAAGAGGTAATTTCAATTTTTCAGAACATCAATCCTCATGAAGCAGCTGGGCCAGATGGGATTAAAGGAAGGGTATTAAAAAATGTGCCACACAGCTGGGTCCTGTGTTCAAACAGATATTTGAGTTGTTTCTTAACACTAGCTTTGTCCTAGAAGCATGGAACATGTCAACTATTGTCCCGGTGCCCAAAATAACACAAAGCTAAGACACTGAATGACTTCAGACCAACTGCCCTCACATCTGTATTATGCAAATGTACGGAGCGCTTAGTGAGCAGAGAACTCATGTCTGTTACAGATGAGCATTTGGACCCTTTGCAGTTTGCATATAGGACTAACCGAGGGGTGGAGGATGCCACTCTCTCTCTCCTCAACAACGTCCATAATCATTTAGACAACCCAAAGACATTTGTTTGCATATTATTCATGGACTTTTCATCTGCTTTTAATACGGTTCAGCCACATATACTTTTAAAACGCCTGTGTGATCTAAATGTCAGCAGCCATCTTGTGTTGTGGATTGGCAATTTTTTAAGAGGAAGACCCCAGCGAGTTTGTGTTTATAACACTCTATCTGATTGTAAGGTCTTGAACACTGGTGTTCCACAGGGTTGTGTGCTATCACCTCTTTTATTCTTTATATACACAAATGAGTTGCAACACAACAGTAACAGTAAAGATTTCACATTAATTAAGTATGCTGATGACATTGCCCTAGTTGCTGGTCTGAAAGACACCAACAGTCCCTCCTACTCCCAGTTCATAGACGAGCTCTCTGACTGGTTTGATGACAGTTTTCTGGCCCTTAATGTCAGTAAAACCAAGGAACTTTGTTTGGGAGGTAGATGGGGAGCAGCCAGCACCAGACCTACATTTAGGACTTCTATTATAAAAGGGCAGGAAGTAGAGCAGGTGACTGATTTTAAATACCTTGGAACAATAATTGACAACAAGTTGACCTTTGAACCCAACACTGACTATATTTACAAAAAAGCTAGACAGCGTCTCCACCTTCTGTATAAGCTAAGGAGCTTTAATGCAAGCAAAATTACTTTGCAGTTGGTGCACAGGTCACTGGTTGAAAGTGTTGTTTCAGTTAATATTGTCTCATGGTATGGGAACCTCCTAGCCAGAGACAGGAACAAGTTGTCCCGGGTGGTCAAACAAGGTAGTAAAGTCATTGGTCATCAACAAACGACACTTACAGACCTGTACAGTCAGGTTCTGGAAAAAAAGGCAATCCAGGTTTACAATGACCCAACTCATCCACTGCAACCATTATTCAGGTTGGTACCATCTGGTAGAAGACTCCTGGTTCCTTTAGCAAACAAAAATGGGTACAAAAAGTCATTTGTTCCCTCTGCGGTGAATGTACTATTTAAACGCAGCCTCGCATGACAAACCACTGTCTGCTGAGATGTTTCCATATTTTAATGTATCGTGTATTTTAGAATGTTTTTAACTGAATGTTTTTAATTGATTTAGCAAAGCTTGGTTTTAAAGTTTTTAAAGTTTTTTTAATCACATTTTTACTTTGTGTTGTTTTTATAAGCCAGATGTCAAAGACAAATCTCCATTTCATTGAATGTTATGGACAATAAAGTTGAATTGACTGATTGATTGAGTCTTTCTGTTTTATTCTTTTCTACTTAGAATATTGAAAGAACATCCTCTGAGCGTGGTGATTCCAGGGTTGTACATGTGTCCAGATGTGCATGCTTGGAGCGGGTCAGACGAAGCTATAACTATCTCAGCCCAGTAAAGCCCTAAAACTGTTTGAAGCTCAGAGACCCAGCCGGAGGTTCGGTCCCTCGTGCGTGAGTACTTACCCTCACACAGGTGGGTGAAAGGCGTCTGTGTATCCTTGCTGTAAGAGACCACCTCTTTGGGCAGGAAGTCCACCTGTGTGATCTTAGAGGCCCCCAGCCTCTGCATCTTGCGCCTATTTGAGAGCAAAGACCCTTGTGTTAGCGTTGCTACACTGTAAAACCCCCAAGCTGCCCTAAAAACAGGGAAATGTTCAAGATTTAAGAAAGCAGTAAGTGATGTCTAACCCTTGTAGTTATTATAAGTCAAGTATTTTTAATAAAAGCTGAGATGTTCCTGCAATATGTACCCGAGCTCTGAATCCGCCTGCAGCTGCAGCACACAGGGGTCTGTGTCCCACTGCAATGTCCTGATGTCACCAGCAGGGGGGGTCAGGAGAGAAAACACAAATATACAAATTCACAAACACTAAAACACTCTTTGAAAGACAAACACATATTTATGTATAGATATGTCATCTTCGCTTCTATCTTATAAAGAATTTCTCCTTCTCACCTTCAATCTGAGGGCAGTCACATGCAAAAAATAAAAAACCTGTCCTCACCTGTTCGTGACACAACCTTGTCCAGTTGTGTCGTTGAACCCAGAGCTCCGCATATTAAAGAGCTTAAACTCCTACTGTTTTAAATGTTGACGCTACCAAAATTAAATGAGAATTTGTTCTTTAATCGTTCGCTCCAATCTTTGTGGAACAGCTTCATGCTTCTTGAAACATGGCTGTGCAACCCTTTATAAAGATAGAAGACTTTGGTTGTCTGACTCAGGGAGCACACAGGTGCTGAGCTCACACAGTTCCATTTCAGCTTGTTCCACACAGCGCAGATTAAACAATATTCACTTCCAGAGAAATCAAGGAGTAACTAAACCCAAACAAGTTTGGCTGAAACATTCCAGCTGTTACATCGTTTTAATGACATATTCCACGACAGAAAACGGAGTCGGTGCCAAACATGGTGTAAAGATGTTCCATTGTTTTACAGAAACACTGAACACACTTGGAGCAACGCTGTCACTGCTGCAGAAAGTGAAACGAGCTCTGTGGCTCAGCTCAAGCAGCGAGACGTGTTTCAGCCGGGTGCTAGAGGAATCAGTGGGCTTTGGACGAGACGAGGCGAGAGAAAAGAGGAAAAGAAGACGGGACGATGGCACACTGCTATGATGGGAACACTTCCATAGTGGGAAACTGATCTAAGGGGAACCTCAGCTAAGGAAAACAATGATTGCTGGTTTGTCATGAAAATGCTTACCTTGAGATTTGTGCTTGGTACTTGCTTTTAGAGAAACCTGACCTATGAAGGGACACACACACACGTACACAAGCACAAATGGAGAAGCTCAAATGCCATGCCATCATCCGGGGTGGATTTAAGGGAGAAAAGCACGATATTTAGTTGAAGGTGTAGCATGAAGATGTGCTCCCCTGACAATGACCTCTGACCCTTGGGTTGTATACCAGACTCAGCATGAACTGTTTTCTTTCTCAAACTTGTCATTTTAACGGATGTAACTTGATCAATCATTTCCTGACATGAAGGAATAATAAATGACTTGATCTGGTCACAATAAATAACTTCTTTCAACCAAAATCCAAAGTAAACTATTTATCAAATATTTCAACTTTGTCTAAATTTGTGCACACATAAAAGCCAAAATTATTTCTGCTCAAAGAGTTAATTTTGCCTTAAATAAAATAGAATTAATCATTGATTAATTAATTACAGCAGTCCCTCGTTTATCACGGGGATCCATACCCTGAAGCCCAGCGATAAGTGAAGAACTGTGAAGTAGGAACAAGTAGGAAGTAGTAGTTTATTTTAGTATTTATATATAAATATATACATTTAAATCCTTCCCACACTCTTGCAATATTCTAAACAGTAGCTATGTTTACATGTGCAAAATTCTTTGACCGGATTGAAATATTTTCAGATTAAATAATTCAAATGTACATGGGCACAATCTGTTCATGACGAGCGTTTACATGCAGCGGGCTTTGTTCTGAACAGAAGTACTGACATGTGCAGAGTGGTAAACTCTCCGTAAAAAAACACAGAAGAAGAAATTCTACTTCCGGTTTACTTCTGGGATGAACTTAAACAAACCTGAGCGCCCAAAATGGACACGCAACAGGTTTTAATGATGGTGGAGACGTTACTGCACTCCCTGACTGAGCTGCAGGTAATACAGATCATAAGTTTCTAATAGAAATGTTGTCACTGACCGACCAGTTTTACTTCCCCGACATGCTAATATTATTAGCATCTAACCAGGTGGATATATGTGAGGTAGACGGGTTGCACATGTGCAGTCAGGTCAGTTTTCCACGATCGGAATAAAATGAACAGATTAAGTGTTTACATGTGCACCGTTCAGATTATGAATCGGCGTAAACCACCCGTCTCATTCTGATCACAAATTCATTCAGATTGAGCTGAATCGACAAAGATTAATCCGAATGGGGCGTTTACATGACACCTTTTTATTCTGAATGGCCGTTTAATCCGATTATTTGTGTCCACGTAAACATGGACGTTTCTAAACTCTAAACGCTCTAAAAGAGCACAGCATGTCATGATCTCTGCTGCTCTCTGCTGCTCTCTGCTGCTCTCTGCTGCTCTCTGCTGCTCTCTGCCACCTGCCAGCGCTCTCGGCCACGCCCACTCCTTCGCTGCAGAGATATGACACGCTGCAGGACTTCTCCTGCAGCTGTGGGCTGTACGCAGGTGCATCAGGTGCTAAATCATTTAAAATTAAAAATTTAAATAAAAATTTCATGCCGATCGTGCGTCTCATCCATCAGTCAGCCATTGTGTGTCATGTCCAATCTTATTTTGAAAAACCGCGATAGAGCGAGTCTGTGATAAACGAAGCAGTGAGGGACAACTATACTGTTATGATTGTTCATTATTGTTTTAATAATTGCTTTACTACTTTCAAACAAGTTATTCTACAAATTATTATCCATTACCATTTGTGTTGTTTTGACTTTGTTTAGTTTGATTAATTATTTCAAAAATAAAACTTGAAAGACAACGTTGGTCTCCTTCTTTGGATGAATATTCATTTGTTCTGGTATAATTCTCTGTAATTAACGGATCAGGGACTGAGTTCTGATAAATAAACGGTGAATACATTAATTAAATTGTTGTTGGTCAACAAACTGACCAGCTGGTGCCCCGCTTTAACGAGCGCTAAATAAATAAGTGTAGTGAAGTGAGGAGCAGGTGTCACCCTTCTTCCTCCCTTCACTTCATACAGGCTACAAAGGCATTAGTGTTCATTTGTAAAATCCAATTAGCAAAAGCTGTAAAAACACAAATTATCACTCAATTCCACCCAAAACAACCAATCACTTACAGTTCCTGAAGGCAACACTCACACATCAGTCTCACAGTGAGCCCACATTACAAAAAGCAAATGGAACGTGCTTGATGACCACTGCTGTTAGAACACACCAAAGCACCCACTGTGCTAAGACACATTAGCTTGTAAGAGTGTGTAGCCTTTAAAGCTTTAAACAAACAATTTTACGTTCTGTCAGCTGTAGCCACGAGCAAACAGCCTCGTGTGCAGCACAAGTTACTTTGTAAAACGATGCTTCCTCGCACAGACAATCTGCATCTCCAAAGTCAACATCCATGGTCATCAAAACACTGAGCATCACGACAGAAAGATGACACAACATTACAACCTCACGAGGCATTCTTACTCACCTGAACCTGTCGTGTCAAGAAAAAACACATGCATTAAAATGACGTGGCTCACAATCAAAAGCCTTTTTTTTAATTATCAGCAGTTTTGGTCAAATGGTTGTAATAAGATCTATGTGACAGCCTTTCAAAAGACTATAAAGTATCTACAATGTATTTAGGCCTGTCACGATAACAAATGTTGCTGGGCGATTAATTGTCTCAGAAATTATTGCGATAAACTATAATATTGTTTGAAATTTGAGAATAATTGGTAATTGTTGTCAAATTTAAGAAGAAATATTTAATTTATTTTGCATGTAGTAACTTTTTTGACCACTGGATGGCAGTATAAGACTGTTTGAACCGAAGGATGGATAGTGAGTGAGCGAGCAGCGTGTCGCTTTAAGAAAAATGGGAGAGAGGCCCCTTGACGTGACATGGGCTGTCTCTCTTCTGTTCTCAAAATGGCGGACGCTCGGTGTGGTTTGACCTCTTTAGCATTTTTCACACAAAGCTTTTAATAAAAAATCAGTAAACAAGTTCTCAGCTTCTTTTTGCAGAGAAAAACAACTTTTTACACAAAGTCACGAGTTTCAACCATGAATTTTGGAGCTTCGACAAGACGGAGGTTTTTCCCCCCCGAGGTCGGCCTGTTAGCTTAGCTCGTAGGTTAGCTTCTCAGCTTAGCTGCTTTTAACGATCCAAAAACGCGATTTTGGACGGTTCAAACTGATTTTAAAGAGAAAGGGAGGGGTCAGTGAAGAACACCGGAGTCTTTTCTCATCCAGTGTCTTCAGTAGAAAGAGACACGAAGAAACAATAAAGCCGATAAATGAACATGAGGTCGATAATTTTCATTTATCGTGCGATTAATTGATTTATCACGACAGGCCTCAATGTATGATTGGAACGCTACATATTATGGACAAATGTTGCATTAAGTTTTGAAATAGTGATTCAGTCAAAACACAAACAGTAATTAGAGCTGTGAACTCCATTAAATGGTTGTTCCTTACACCAACATCAAATGAAACTGTGCCTCTAAACTTTTGCTGATGGTGTGTCGATGTACCTGCCGGCTGCTCCTCCATCTGCTGAGTCTTGACTCCCAGTCTCACTGGGCGTGCTCACTGATTTGGAGGGGGAAACGGGGGTCGGGACTAAATATAAAAAAACAAACAAACAGCGTTTTATATTAACGGCTTGAGAAATGATAACTTACAATTTTAGAAATGCAATAAAGAAAACGATTGAGAAATAAAATGAACACTACCATATGGAAAAGGATTACACAGCCTCGGAAGCATTGCTAATTTTCTATCATTTGTTGTCAGTCAGCGCTCATCTTTTTTAGGCACACTATAAATAGCTTCAGTTTTTAAAAAAAGTATTGCAGTGACCCACTTTAGAAGCATTTAAGGTGTTATTACAAAGTCAGACCACTAGAGAATTGTGGCCTCAAGGGCGCCCATTAGAAATCCACCCACAGCTGTAAAAATGTAATCTACAGATCTGGAGGCTTTAACATGAAAGCAAACATAAAGGTATGTGCTGAGCAGGGTTCTTTTATGAACTATGAGTGAAAGAAGGAGTTTCATTTACCCAGTAGAGGCTCGGGGGAGATGCCGATACTCTGCAGCAGGGCCTCGGTCTCCCGGCGCTTGCGATCCAAATCTGAATCTTCTGGAGTCACCTCCGTCTTCTGCTGGTTGTCCGACTGCTCAGAGTGCACACACACAGCTTCTCTTAGTCAACATCACACCATCAGGAAATACATTTCAGCTAACAGAACATGACTAAAAACACACATTTTACACACAAATCCCACTTTACAGAAGACCTATTATGATACTGTTTGTTTTTCTTTACCTCTTTTTTCTTCCTCTCCTCCTCCTTTCGTTTTTTCTCCTCCCTGATTTGGGCGAGGCGCTGCTTCTTTCGCTCCAGCTCTGCTTTTAGGTCACTTTTGTCCGACATGGTGTCCTTTAATTAAAACTGTGAACAGCGTGTGACAGTTGTTTTATTGTTCTTTGTTTTACTGCATGTTGCATTAAAAAAGTGTTTTGGTTCATGCAGGGACAAAAGCCTCTAAATGCCCAGAGATTCCTCTGAGTGTGTCAGAAACACACTTTTATAGCAGAGCCATTCTTAAAAAAAGGGGAATAAACTGATTAAAACACTTGTGCCTTTTTTAACTGAGCTTAACCACATGGTCTATTTAGCTCTTTCCTTATTAATTTAACATCATAATACCAATATTGATTTACTGCTTCATGCAAACACTTCAATAACTGAGCAGAATAATTTGCCTGCTTGTGTTTAGTGAACGCAACAGTTCATATCAGAACTAAATGTGTAGAAAAAGATGATTATTGACATTATATCCACAGAAAGAGGCACAAATACAAAGTAAATAAACACAAGTGAATGCAACATTTGTACACAAAGACCGGATTCTGACCAGGTACATTAGCAGGAAGTGAACTAACTGAAAATGCAACAGCGTTAAAATAATAATAATAAATTTAAACACCACTGTGGGAATACTCCAACACGCCCATTATGGCGTGTTAGTAACTATTTCACTCGTACCTTGTCCACTTAGTGCTTAATGACGTGTCGCCGGTAAAGATGCTGTCTCACTGCTGGTTCTGGATAAGAACATAAATCAGCGCATCCTCTTTCATCTCCTCTCTGTCCGCATTAAATTACATCGACGACACCTTCACTGACAGCACGAGTTCAAATGGCTCATTTCAAACACCGAAATAAAGGATGAAGCAGGTACAACACATGAAGATACATCCTTTGAGGAGCTTACGGCGGATGCTGGAGGAAGAAGAAGAAGAAGAAGAAGAAGGAGGAGAGGAAATCCCACTTCTTCCTCGGGAGGCGCTGTCATTAGCAACACTGCCATCTGGTGGACACTTCAGGGATTACATTATAGCAACTTGCTAATGATCAAATAAATAATAACAAATAAATACATTTAAGAAAACACAGCTATCTGATTATATTAATTACTTAAAAACACAAAATACTGATTATATACAAGAAAATATAATAACAAATTTAAAAACAAATGGTGCAAATTTTTGAGAGAGACATCTTCAGTAAAAACATATTTTGTTCATTTCTTAGTCAGTTTCTTACTTGTTTGTATTTTTCATACTTCCCTGTTGTTGTTACATTCTCTGTTATTTTTATATCTTGTGTGATGCCTTGTGCGTGTTCTTTTGTATTGAAACCCTGGCACAGCAATTTGTGGGATCAATAAAGCATCTTAAACACTTAAATGAATATGCTGAAAATATAAAAAAAAATAGCAACAGAAGAAATAAATAATGTTTGTATTGAATAGCAATATTAGTGACCAAATCTGGTGAAAAAATGATGAACAATAAAAGAAACTCAACTGGAAACCAGCACCCGAAGAGAAGAGAATCTAATTCCAGTGGGCTTAAAGAAGCAGTCACACAAATCTGCATTTGGCAGGAAGTTGACACTGGTGTTTTTGTTTAGTGTAGGTCCAATAAAACATGGCTGCATAATGAAAGCATGAAAAATTGCTTTTTTGCTGAAGTTTTGGGGTTGTGCAGTATTGGTAAAGGACCAAGGCAGATGATCTTTATAAACATGCAAAATTATTTTAGTTTTATTTTTCAAGCGGCCTTGATCAATAGTTCATTTAAAGGTGAAAGTTGTTTTTATATTACAGTACTGAATGCCAGTTAGTAATTCGTTGAGTGCTAAAATACAAGGTCCATTAAACTTTTATTCTGTTCAACTTTTCATTTATTGGTATTTTCTATCAGTTCAACAAAAGAAACAGGGACTAATTGTAGATGCTAAAAAAATGTCCAAAGATCCCAATTAAAACTGGTTCTTCACTTCTTGCACAGACTGGTTCCATCTTTAAGTTTCGGAGCCTGAAATAGACACAAGGTAAATATGAGTGACGTAATATTATGTTTAATGTTAAACATAAAAAAACAGTTGTTCATATGTTGGTTCAGATGAATGTGTTTAATTTCTAAAGCAGAGAAATTCTCTGCAACAATGCTGCGTGAAGCGCTGAACGACTGCTACAATTTGCAAAAGATGCATGTTTTTCTTTAGGCTGCTCCTTCTTCAGGGGTTGCTGCAGAGAGAACATTTGCACATTCAAAAAAGATAGCTAAAAGAAACCGAACCCTATAAATGTACAGACTAAATGTTAGCTGAAAGCTAAAAGAAGCAAAATGCTAGGTAAGTATAAAAAGTAGTCACACCCAAGCTAAAAGCAGGAAATGTAAACTAAAAGCTAAATTTGCAAAAATCTAACTGAAACTTAAGTAAAGCTAAAAGCAAATAGCATCAAAGCAATAGCTAAAGGCTAAAAACAGCCTAAAAAGACAAAAGCAACGCAATAGGGCATTTACCAAAAAGAGGCATTTTTGAAGGAACTGACTAGATCTTATGGTCAAAATAATTAAATAAAGTGAAATATTTGGAAAAGTTATAAAAAATGAAAATCACAGCACCCATCTCCTGGATGAGCTGGATAGTTTGAGAATGGCTAAAATAGCACAAAGAATGAAGAAGGAGTTAAAATAAAATAAAAATATGCCGAGATTATAGAAACAAGAAAAATGCAGAATGGGAGGAAGATATCTTGGTATGATTGTGCAGCTCCCCATCCAGGCTGTCATGTTGTAAAGTTTGCAGATGATACAGTGGTGGTGGGATGCATCACAAACAATGATGAGTCCAGCTACAGGCAGGAGGTGGAACATCTGGAGAGCTGTGCAGGAAGAACAACCTTCACATCAATGTGAAGAAGACGTTGGAGATGATCGTGGACTTCAGACAGAACAAGCACACCTACACACCTACCCCCCCCCCCCCCCCCAAACATAGGAGCATCCTGTGCTCCAGCATCAACGTGTGGCATGGAGGCTGCACAGCTGCAGAAAGAAAAGCTTTGCAGAGAGTGGTGAAGGCTGCACAGAAGATGTTGGAGTCAGTCTCCCCACCATCACAGACATTTACACCTCCAGATGCAGGAAGAGGGCCACCTGCATCATGAAGGACCCCACTCACCCAGCACACACACTTTTTGCCCCACTCCCCTCAAGAAGGAGGTTGAGGAGCATTAAGTGTAGAACCAATAGACTGAGGAACAGCTTATACCCTGAAGATGTTAGACTCATGAATCTCTAACCAGAATAATCACTGTGAAAAAATCCCATCATGCTGCTGATTTAATTCATGTTGCTGCTGATCTGTTTCATGTTGCTGCTGATCTGTTTCATGTTGCTGCTGATCTGTTTCATGTTGCTGTGTTCATTCAAACTCATCTGCTCACACAGACTCATGCTCGTGCTGCTGTTCGACATATTGTTTATATGCTATTAGTGTGTTTTTAGTTAACATATTTTTTAGTTCATATCTTAGATCTTATTATGTTTGTTGTTTTTTTACACACATTTTAATACTTTTGTTGAATATAACTGGGACCCTGTATAAACAATTTCATTCCGCTACATGTGAATGACAAATAAAGAACCTTGAAGATTCATTCAACCTTTGTTTACACAGGTAAATCCCATTGAGCCTCGAGGACTCATTTACAAGAGAGACCTGAATTTATCATTTATCATAATTTTCATTTATCAGGTTCTTTTCTTGTAGAACCAACTTCCAGTTTCTGACCATGAGGATGACACGTTGTCTAGTTATAAGACTGGGCTTTAAGGTTATGCTGCTTATAGGCTTAGACTACTAGAAGACAAACTGACCTCATTACTTAATGGATTGTTAAACAGAAAAGTTTTCATTTGAAACTATTTCTATCTTGACATGTGACTCTTGACCTGCCATTGTGTATCTATTCCTCTCGACCCAAGCTGTTCAAAGCAGATGGCTGAATATCCTGAGACAGGTTTTGTTAAAGAGAGAGAACAGGAAGCATTTCCTTTCCAATGTGGCCTTTATACTTTCTCAAGGTAATAGTTCTATGATGGTGTTAAATTCAAAGCAGTCTGCTTCTCAGATATATAGTGTAAAGTTATTATTTTTCGTATATATATTTTTTTTTTACTTGTGTTTTATATGAAAACAATACTGGAGCACCAACAAAAGGGGGCCGCATTGAATTCTGGGTAACCGTCATGGGAGATACGTGCGTACAGGAACGACGCATCCTCTGAACACCAGTGCCTTAAATCAATGAGACGTACATGGTCACATTTGTATTTATTATGCTTACTATTTATGTCCATACAGCTTGTTATGCTAAACCAGTAAAATAAAAATCGAAGTTGTGAGCTTTTAAGTTACTTTTTGTAATCATAGAATCGCAAAACAACAACACCAGTAAAGTTGTAACAACAGGTCGTAGAAGTTTCGCCTCTATTGAACACTCACACCGCTTTCAGAAACCATGACTTGTTATATGTAAAGTCCTTTAAAACAGTAAAACACAGAGAAGTTCATGATATGTCGCTGTAGGTGATGCTGCCATTAATGCGTGAGGCGTTCACTTACAGTTCATGAAGATGGCTCCGCCCACAGTTGGAACTCTGGGCGCTGATTGGTGGATCCCAACGTCAGTCTCATCTTCAGCACAACAACATTTATCTGTGAACTGTGGAAGGAAAGTGCTCGTGGAAAACACCGTGTTGACCTCACGGTAGTCTGGCTCCTGAAGGATGATGTGAAGGAGTTTTTGTGTGCCGCCGAGCTGCTGTCCTGCTTGGTCAAAGCCCGGATTGTGTCGGAGTGAGAAGGAACGGCTCGTCCCATAAACTGGCAGTTTGGGGCTCTACTGAAAAAATGAGGTTCGCCCAGTTGTTGTTGAAAAGCGGCTCACTGGCTGGGATACCCAAACAAGTGGAGAGGTTTTCCAAGTTTTCCCCTTCTCCTTTATCCATGAAGCAGTTCATTGACTTTGGTAAGCAGCGTTTTTTCTGTGCACTGTGTTCCCAGTGTTACATAACTCATTCTAGTTCTTGTCTGTCCCAGCAGCTCGTGTTCAAACTGCAGATTCAGCACATGGCTCTTTGATCTGCAAAACTCCAACCATTACAACCTCGCAGTCACGTGACTGTGCACATGAGCCGTTTGCAGTAACATTTTTCCTTGTTTGCATGTTTTTCTTGCTGCCCCTCATGTGACTGCAGGTTCTGCCAATGCATGTGAGAAGACCTCCTTCGTGTTCCTGCGACAGGAGCTTCCTGTCAGACTGGCCAACATCATGAAAGAAATCGACTACCTCCCTGACAAACTCCTCGGCACTCCATCTGTAAAGCTGCTGACCAGCTGGTAGGATCTCTGGCTCTTCATATGGGTTTGCAAACAGCTGCCTCAATTCTCCCTGGAACCACATACTGTATTTTTAGCTGTATAAGTCGCGTTTTTTTGCATAATTTACATGACCTGCAACTTATACGCCAAAGCGACGTATTAATGGATGTTTTCCCATATTTATAAACCAGTTTTTGGCTGAAATATGACCATTTTCATTCATTCTGACTGAAAATATTGAACACTACAATTTTCAGCCACTAGATGGCACTTGAGTAGTATGGCATGCCGTTGTTTCATGTAATATTTAAAAGTGGCTGTTAATGACACTGTCACCGTCGTCTGCCTGGCGCAAACGTCAAATCAACTTCATTTCGCTGCAACTCCCCGGAGAAAAGCAGCTGCTTTGACCATTAAAGTGCATTTATTAAGTAAGAGTTCAACTGAGACACACATTTACTATAATTTCAAGTAAACAAATAATTGTTTTTAAGTGATAATCTTGTTAAATTCTTGTTAAAGTAGTCCCGTGCTTGCGGTCGCCACTTGGCAGCCAAACGATTTTTGACACAACACCGGCCCACATTTCCAGGTTGTCAGCGGTGACGCATAATAGATGCGACTTATACGGTGAAGCGACATATTTATAGATATTTCCACTTTATTAGACATATTTGGACTGATGTAACTTATAGGGTGTACGGTGGAAAATACGGTAGTCTTTGTTTTGATTAGAAAAGATCAGGGTTATTCCAGACTTACCCGCTCCAGTAAAGATTGTTATATTGGTCTCTTCTAAAGAGACTTGAATTCTCACATTGTGGGCTTTACATCAGTGATGCAAGCTGCTAAAGAGCAGGTTTTGATCTAATGTAGGCTAACCGCATGCTTTCTGCACAAAGGTCATCTTTATTAACATGCCTACAATCCTCTAATAGGAGTCCTAAAGCTGATTAAAGAGGGTTCAGTTAAATGAGCCGGGAAATGATCTGTTATAATGTGTCATGTGCAAATGATTCTCTGGTTCCAGTACCTGGCGTGACCTCTTGTGAGGAAATAACTCATTATTTGTGTTCCTCTGATGATCAGTCCTGCTCATCCCATGTAGGAGATATTCCAGTTTGTGGAATGGCTTCAATTCTGGGATTCTGCTGATTTTCCTCTATTAAAGCGCTTACTTTAGTCCTTTTAAAGCAAAGCTAAACAATTAGTTCTTCATGTAGAACGTCCGCTTTTCTTCTTAGTTTTAAGCATAGTTTGAATCACTTGGTGTTAGATGATGTTATGCTTCATGATTATGTGTTAAAAGTCGCATCACAGCTAAAAAAAATCACATAAAATTCGGCATGAATTCAGATTTTTATCAGTAGTTGTAACCATCCCTGGCCCAGATGTCATAAAACATGCTTTAACCATTATAATGAAAGAGATAACTTCCCTATCATCATAATCCTCTGCCAGCATTCACCAGCTCAAGTGTAATGTGTGACATCCAAATGAAGACATGCTTCGCCCAACGCAGGTGAAGCAGCTTCTCCAAGTCAGCTGTCTGTTGAGGAGATGCAGCAACAAAGAACTTACACGTCCTTCACTCTTTCTCCTCCTCTGGGTCCGTTGCTCTTCTAAACAAGAGGCTGACGCTTCTTTAACACGTTCACTCGAGAGAAGATGTGATATTTTCACATGGATCAAACACATTTCAAAGTCTTTGCCTACGTGGTGGGACTTGATCCAAGTTTGAGGGCTGAAGGTGACTTGAGGGACACACTTCGTACATAGAAAGCATAGTTAGAGGGCCGGTCACCTTTCACCCAGTTTTTCTGCAGCGAGGCAGCGTAAGTGTGTGACCAGAGTCCTGTGGATCCTCTGGACCTGGATGGGAAGTCCATGACATCACGCTGTTATTTAAAGCCGTGTGCTTTCAGTTAAACGCTGTTGGGTTCTTAAACCTTTTTTATGTATTCCTGTTTAACAAAACATGCATATTTAAACATTTTTATCCGTGCTCTTGTTCTTGTGTGTCCTTCAGGTACTCACAGAGTTTGATGGAGCTTATAGAATTTTTAGAATTTGATCCAGACGATAAGGATGTTTTAAAAGGGTAAGATGTTTCCCCACACTTTTTGAAATATACATTCACATCTACGCTTTGTCCGTCACTATTTGAGTTATTAGCCATTATGGTTTATTAATTCTAGCATTGATTTAATATATATATATATTCATAAGGATGTTTATGTTCATGCACCCAATCCAACGAGCATTGCGTAACTTTAAAGCATTTTAAGATGTTGCAACACAAACAGCTTTTCTTAAAGTATGTCCAGAGTCACTCGTGCAGATGTCTGGATAACTAATTCCTGTTGTGGAAACAGTTGAGGCCACATTTCTTTCCTTTTCACTTACCTTGTTGTAGAACTGCTTGAGGCCATTGTCACATTGAAAAGTCCAAGATTAACTAGAGCAGAACATTAACAAGTGGCTCATGTATATAAGGTGTTTAATCAGCTCCTGTGTAATTATTTACTGCTTTAAATGCACTTTATTAAACTTGTTAAACTAAAACTAATTGTATAACGTCAGATTTATTCCAGAAAAGTCTCTTGCATTGCAAACACCCTACCTTACCTTAGATAAATAATGTTATTAATTGTTACGTCCCCGAAGGGCACAACATATTTTAAGGACACGTGAGTCAAACGTGATGGTTCAAATATTCAATTTATTAAAGCTGCTTCCTGCAGGGGAAAAAAAAAGAAGATAATGAACCCCCAGTTCTCGTGTCCATCCAAAAACACCCCCCCCCCCCCCTCCCCCCAAAGTATTAACATAAAGATGGACGTGGTGAGCCGGTCAAACGGAACATAACGGTACAGCAGGGGTCAACCTGTTACAGGGCCGTCGAAGCCACTGCTGGTACCGGGCTAAAACCAGAGAAGAATCTAAAAAACACCTATTGCAAATGAAATACATGATAAAAAGACAGCTGGTCCCACCAGGCCAAAATCACAATGACAAATAGAGAAAAGTTAACAAAAAATGAACCCATCAGGTTGAGGCCGACGGCTGAGAACTGAGAGAGCTCCCGAAGGTCATCCTATTTATAGACGGACGGAAAACACCACAGCTCAAATCAATCAAATATTAATTACAAAAGGTGTAACAACCAAACCCCCAAAATATACTCAAGGGACCAAGAAAATAATAATAATAATGTGCCCCAAAGCACTTAACACTAATGTATTATGTATATATATATATATATATATATATATATATATATATATATATATATGAGTATATGAATGTTTCTGTTCAGTGCCCTGAGATGACTTCTGTTGTGACTTGCTGCTATATAAATAAACTGAATTGAATATTTTAATTTGGCTCCTAACTCCAGGGCTGAGTGATTAGAGCACGGTGTTTATTTGACTACACGCTTTACAAATCTACATGCAACGTTTAGATTTACTTTGACTGACGTGCAAAGCAGAGCTGACCTGCAACTCTGCAAAGTGTAACAGAATTCAAATATCGTGGGCTGTTTTTAGATCCACATCTACAATTTGAGAATCATATAAACAACATTTCCAAAAACGTCTAAAGAAACCTTATGAAAATGAATAAGACCTTACATTCCTGTGCAGGCTGCTCTTCAGTATATGCATGCCATGATATTCTCTCATATCTCATATTGTACGACATCATGGGCCCAGGCTACTACAACGGCTATTAAGCCAATGGTCTCATTGTATAACCGAACAATAAAAGTAATGGACAAAAAGCCAATAAGATCACATCACTGTCTAATCTGGACAAACTTAATGAGTTTTGAAAGTTTTTCTAACTTTTCTTAAATACATTTTTAAGTGTATCAGTAAGTTAGCTCCTCATCCACTGAGCTCATTTATACAGAAGCAAACCAGTTGCAGAGTCACCAGAGGATCATCAGAACAGAACTGCATAACTCTAGAACCTCGTTTGCTCAGACTTCTTTTTCCTATAAAGGCACAACATTATGGAACTTATTGCCCCCACATGTAAAATCTACACCTGAACTTAAAAAGTTTGTTTACATGACTAAACCTTGGCTAAAGGAAAATCAAAGATGTGATTATTTTAAACACTTGGATTTTATGGATACAAAAGTCTCTGTGGGGGTGTATGTGTTAGTGAGTTAGTATTATATTTACAATGTTGAGTATGTTAGCTGAATGTGTGAGGATGGGGAGGTGTTGAGGAGGTGCCATGATATTTATGTAAATTTGTGGGTTGCAAAGTTATTTTAGAATTTGTAGAGGAAAATGTTTTGTACTTATGTTTTTAAATTGTTTGTATTTTAATGTGAAGTTTTAATTATATGAATTTGGAGGTTGTTAGGTTGATTACATGAATATGTAGACAGGAGTACGTAGGTACTCTTACTGTATTTTGATTGATACATTGTATGTATTTTAATGCGTAGAAATGCCCAAGCAGGGACTGGAGTTGTGAATTCGCTGTAGCTATGTACTCTTTGTGCAACGCATCAGTCACAGACTCGTTCTGTTCTGTTTGTGTGCCCTGTCCCTGTCAAATAAACTAACTAACTAAACTGGCTAAACTTCAGCGTGTTCAGCTCAACGCAGCTAACGTGCCTATTTCCTAATTTCCTTTTCCTGTTCTCACATCTTCATCGTGCTGTTCCCCCGCAGCTTCACCAAGACGCTCATAAACATCCGAAACAGGCATAACAACGTGGTGCCGACCATGGCTCAGGGTGTGCTGGAGTACAAGGAGGCTTTCGGCGTGGACCCCGTCACGAACCAGAACGTCCAGTACTTCCTGGACCGCTTCTACATGAGCCGCATCTCCACACGCATGCTCATGAACCAGCACAGTCAGTATAGCACTCTGTCACTAACTGTGAGTTAACACAGTTGCTGTCACTATCAGTGTGGCCCTGTGAGCCCTTTCAAACTAAAAGCTCTGTTTTACACACCAGAGTGCATTGTGGGTATTCCTAAAGTCTTCTTGAATGCCTTGTGTTTAGACAGCTTGTAAAGGCTATTTTAAATCCTATATAAGTTAAATGTGTATTTTAGTGCTTATACTTCAGAGACGTTCGTGTCTTTACCGCACGTTTTGCAGTCACATCACCGTGAGCTTGTTGTGTTTTCTGTAGCATTAATCTTCGACGGCAGCGTGAACCCAGCCCATCCCAAACATATCGGCAGCATTGACCCCAGCTGTGACGTCGTGGAGGTAGTAAAAGGTAATAAGTCATCTTTATCTACTGTCTTCCTGCACGTTTCACTTTGTGACAGGTATGGGCGGCTGTGGCTGAGTGGTTAGAGCAGTCGTCCTCCAATGCAGGAGTTGGGGGTTTGATTCCACCAGCAGTCACATGCTGACGTGTCCCTGGGCAAGACACTGAAGCCCTCACTGCCTCCGATGTGTGTCCCATCTGTGTATGAATGTGATAAAGCTCTGATTAATCTTTGTAGAGATCTAGTAGAGTGATGTATGAATGTGTAAATGAGGACACAGATTGTTGTAAAGAGCTTTGAGTGTCTTGATAAGATAGAAAGGAGTTACAGTCCATTTACCATTTATGATCTTTTAATGTCACGTATCATCAGGTCAGGGCAGTCACTGTGCTGAAGGTGTGGTACTGTAATGTATGTGTTAGAACAGCTCTTCCACAGGTGTGTGATGTCACACTCTTAGTTGTTCGACTGTCTGACCCTGAAAGCTTTTCTTTTTTGTCACCTTGCAGATGCCTATGAGACCTCAAAGATGCTGTGTGAGCAGTATTACCTCACCTCTCCTCACATGGAGATCAGGGAAGTCAACTGTAAGTCAAAAACAACCGGAGCCTTTGGTTTTTAAGCTGCAGCTTTTATCCAGATACTCCTGCTTTATGTGTAAAAATAAGATATTTTTAGGCTGATTCATCTCAATCTAATCTTTGCTGATGTGACTGAGGGACAGGTTTTCCTGTCAGCTGCCTCTAACCACTGCGTCAGCAGCACATGTTCCTCAACCTGATCCACACTGGTGCCTCCGACGCACAAAGTCAAAGGTTGAATGGCCTAATATAACATTCAAAACTGAGGATAGAGGAGTCAAAGCACAAAGTGAAGTTTTATTTACTCCAGATACAGTAGTCCCTTGTTTATCGCGGGGGATCTGTGCCCTGAAGCCCTGCGATAAGTGAAAAACCACAAAGTAGGAATAGTAGTACAAGTAGTAAGTAGCAGTTTATTTTATTATTTATATATATATTTATATATATATATATATATAGGTGTTTTAAACCCTTCCCACACTCTTGCGATATTCTAAACAATGTTTCTAAACGCTCTAAAAGATCACAGCATGTCATGATTTCAGCTCCCTGCCTCTGCTGCTCTCAGCCACCTGCAAGTGCTCTTGGCCCCGCCCACTTCTCTACTCTGTATGATGAACAGCTGATCAGCTGCAGCAGGAAGTTTCTCCTGCAGTATGAGCTGAGCTGCACAAATGTGCAACAGGTGCTAAATACTTTAAAATAATTTATTTTAAATAAATATTCCATGCCGATCGTGTGACTCATCTATCAATCAGCCAGTTGTGTGTCATGTCCAATCGTATTTTGAAAAACCGCGATAGAGCGAGTCCATGAAAAACGAACCGCGAAGTAGCGAGGGACTACTGTATCTGGATGTCACATAGAGCATGAGCTGTTCTTGTGCTCATTTTTGCTACACAGAGCTGTGGCTGCAAAGATTATTTATTTTTAACCGTTGTCTTACAAAAAACAACATTTTATGCGGAAAGTACACAAATATTTTTAGGCTATAAAAATCTAACCTGCAACTATAGAGACTTTGGCCATCATGTTTTTAATTTTTTTTTCAATGAGACTGTATTTGTTTGCTGTAGAGGAGCGCTCGTCTTTTTTACAGTTACTGTGTAAAATCAGGCACCACGCCCCAAAAACATTCACAGCTTGTTACGGTTTTCAGGGTCAACTTTAGACTTTTGGTCACATATTTATGAATCAACTCCATTTGTGTTTGACGTTGTGATCGTGAAGTTTCCTCAACGTGCTGTGTTGTCAGAATGACTGCAGAGAACATGAACAGTGAGTGCAGTTTTGAACGGTGGTAAAATAACTCTGTGTCTTCAGTTTTGCTGTTTCTGTTCCGTGTTTTGCTCCGCTGGTGAAAGCTTTAGAAAGAAACGTTTGGGATTTGTCTTACTGGATTTTGTTGCCCTTATCATTTTTTATCAGTGTATAATGTGAAGTATTTTACAGCTAAAAACCCTGGCCAGCCCATCCACATCGTGTACGTGCCGTCCCATCTCTACCACATGCTGTTCGAGCTCTTCAAGGTAATGTAACAAACCTAAAAACTAGTCGCGTACCGTTGTTCATCGAGTGATTGATAACCTGTTTTGTAATTATTATCTGTCAGAACGCTATGAGAGCTACTGTGGAGACCCATGAGACGAGCCCGGCGTTGCCTCCAATCAAAGTGCGTGTCGCACTGGGACATGAGGACCTCACCATCAAGGTAATGCACCCAAACTGAGCATGCACCGTAGCTCCAACTATACTGAGCACTTACTACAGGAAATATGGCTCCAGATAACATGAGATCACTTGGTCTAGCAGAATAACAAATAATCTACATGCTTCTTATCTGTTCTTTATTTGTTAGATGTCCGACAGAGGAGGCGGAGTCCCCCTGAGGAAGATTGAACGTCTCTTCAGCTACATGTATTCCACAGCTCCCAGTCCCGTCCATGTCGACAATTCTCGTAACGCTCCTCTGGTAAGATTAAGGCCGTCACTCTTGCCCTTAAATATTTATCTTTATCCTCCCAAACACAAGCGTTGCTGAGAGTTTTGGACGTTACACCTTGACTTTCAAAACTACAAACTTGACTTTGTATTTCAAACATGTGAGTTGTATAAAAAAATCTTTGGTCTTTTGAGCTGGGATTATTGAGCTGGGATTAAAAGTGTAATGTATCGTGTGCTCAACAGAGGCTCGCTCAACTCATCACATTAGAAAAGCAACTTACACAACAGTTCAATGAGCGACATGTCTTTGGTTTAAAGTATAGTCAGAAAAACTGAGTGCTTGTTGAATCATGCTGCAAAGTTCATGCAGCTCATTTATTTCATTCCATTTAATTTGGTCAGAGAAAATAAATTCATCTCACCTGATACAAAGACACAACTTTACACAGGAGTTCTACTAATCAAAAGCATTTGTCAGTCTTTAGTTTCTGAAATGATACATGAAAATAAAAGATGGAAACTCGATAGTCACTGTCAATCATCCCGGAGCAAACGGGGGAGTTTGAAATGCAGTCCGTCCATCTTGTGAGCTGGATCATTTGAAAAACGAGTGAGTGAGGTACTGACTTCCGTTTTGGTGTGTGTCTGCATTTAGGCATAAAGGTCACTATCATAAATTAAAACTCATTTCGCCTTTTATATTTCATAAAATATATTGATCCTTTATCTTGCGCTTGTTCCGGAGTCAGGGCAGCATCTTGAGCAGGGAGGTCCAGACATCTCTTTCCACAGCCACCTCCTCCAGCTTTTCTGGGAGGATTCCAAAATGTTCCCAGGCCAGATGTAGTCTCTCCAGCGTGTCCTGGGTCCTCCCCGAGGTCTCCTCTCAGTTGCACAAAACTGTTTTTTTCAAATGATTAGGGTGGCCAGTGTGGTGCCTGAAGATTACAGTAATCTATGGTGGCCAAGGCCCCCATTGGCCACCCCCTGGCTTCGCCATCGCACCTGGTGGATAAAATTGTTCCCTCTACTCCCAAACTCCTACTCTGTTCGATATCTTGCACCAACAACATGAAGGTTTACTTCATTCCCTGTTCAGTTCCAGTCCAGTAAAACATTCATCTAAAACTACAAACGTTCACTGTTCAAATCCCTGAGCGACCGGGGACATCGACGTACCGCTTGTTCGAGCCAAAGCCTCAATATAATCTGCACCTTACTTATTACCATTAGATGTGTTTGATAGGCCTGTTGTGATAAACAATAAATCAATTAATTGCATGATAAATGAAAATTATTAACCTCATTTTCATTTATCAGCTTTATCGTTTCTTCATGTCTCTCTCTTTCTGAAGACACTGGATGATAAAAGGCTCAACTCAGGTGTTCTTCACTGACCCCTCCCTTTCTCTTTTCTCTTGAAAATCCATTTTAACTGTTTAAAATCGCGTTTTTGGATCATTAAAAGTAGCTAAGCTGAGAAGCTAAGCTACAAGCTAAGCTAACAGACCAACCTCGGGAAAAACCTCCGTCTTGTCGAAGCTCCAAAATTCACAGTTGAAACCCGTGCCTTGGTGTAAAAAGTTCTTTTTCTCTGCAAAAAGAAGCTGAGAACTTGTTTACTGAATTTTTTATTCATAACTTTGTGCGAAAAATGCTATGCTAAAGAGCTCAAACCACACCGAGCGTCTGCCATTTTGAGAACCGAAGAGAGACAGCCCATGTCACGTCAAGGGGCCTCCCTCCCATTTTTCTTTGAGACACGCTGCTCGTTCCCTCACTATCCATCCTTCAGTTCAAACAGTCTTATACTGCCATCCAGTGGTCAAAAAATGTACTACAGCAAAACAAATTAACCAACATTTCTTCTTAAATTTGACAATAATTACTAATTATTGTCAAATTGCAAACAATATTATTGTTTATCGCAATAATTTCTGAGACAATTAATCGCCCAGCAACATTTGTTATCATGACAGGTCTAGTGTTTGATGCTAATCTAAACCAAATGTTTTATTAGTTCTTGACACTTCCCTAATATAATCCTCAAATAAAAAAATTCAAAGTACACCCTAAATATTTGAATACGTATTTTAGGATTTTGAAATGCTGATTTTTCATCCCATTACCTTTTTCAAACTGATCTATTTAGACGTGTTTTAGTAATAAATGTTTTAATAATGCAGCTTATTCAAACTGGTTCAAACTGGAAAATTAATTCTTCGTCATGTGTCTGCGTTCAGGCTGGTTTCGGTTACGGCCTGCCCATTTCCCGCCTGTATGCCAAGTATTTCCAGGGGGACCTGCAGCTCTACTCTATGGAGGGCTACGGCACCGCAGCTGTCATATATTTAAAGGTGAGTTCAGCCTTTTCTCCATATCTTTTTGTGGGAATGAGTCTAAATGAAATGTATGATCTGCAGATCCTCTAAAAGGAGGCACATATGAAGTGAGAGATTCACTTATGTGTCTCCACGAGCTATCACCAAGTTTAGAAACGAGTCTCTAAATAAACCATACACTGAGCGATAATGCAGCACAGATAAAATGAGATTGTGAAGCCAAATAATAAGCACCAGGCGAGGCGTCTATGTTATCAGGATCTGGAGTGATTTGTTCTGTCTGTCCTGTACCCCCAGGCCTTGTCCTCAGAGTCGGTGGAGAGGCTTCCTGTGTTCAACAAGTCCGCCCTGCGGCATTACCAGGCCAGCATAGAGGCCGACGACTGGTGCATGCCCAGTAAGGAGCCAAAGAATCTCGGCAAGTTTGAGAGGACCCACTGATGGTGGAGCTGCGGGGGACGAGGAGGACACTGTAGTTGGAGACGAGTCGAGGAGGAGTGTGAGAAGTCACCAGCATATAGTTGAACTTGGATTTGTGTTTTGAAACCCGCAGAAGAGAAATGAAAGAACCTGAACCAGATGTCAGATAATTCAGCTCAACAAAACCTCAAACTGCACTTATTATTGTTGGGTTTAAAGCTGTTTTCTCCACATGAACGCCAAAGATGGTGAATGTTTGAACATTTTCTTCTGGACGTTTTTCTGCCGCTGTGCTTCACTCGAGTTCTTCACAGCTGAGAGCAGAGAATGTGGTTCTTTAACAATCGTTCAGTCTGGATAGATCAGCAACGTATAGCTGAACCAACAAGAGTTCAAAGCAACTTTTACCAGGATTCACATTTGCTTCATTTGCTGCAAATCCTCCAGGTTTGCTGCTACATCACACACCGGGCCTTCAGCTTTGAAGTGGTTGCTGCAGACATTTGCATTCTCTCAAGCTGCTTTTAGGAAATCTCTGAAACATTTTAAAACTGCAGTGCACATTTGAACATGAACCATCTCAAAAACTGACAGTGAACAAATGATCTTTAGTAAAACTCCTGAGTAAAGTTTGTGCATCGGGTTAGAGAAGCCCAGCTGAAGCTCCTCCGGTTCAACAAATCAGAACACGTTCAACACAAACGGAGCAAAGTGTTTATTGCTTCATTCACACAACTTCTGCAAACTGAATCCATTTCCTTCTTCTGCTTTGTAAAAGCTCTTCCATTTTTAGTTTTTCTGAATCTAATCTCTTTATATGAGACTGTAAAAGTCACTGTTTTGAAGCAGTGAGTGAATCAAGCACAAACGAGTTTAAATCTAAAGGAAAATGTTCGAAACATATCTGCTGCCAATATGTCAGGTGCAAATCTTATCTAAATACCATCAGCCTGGTTCACTTCTTTTATCTTCATCTAACTTAAATTTAATGTGACCTAAACACTTTGAATTGTTTTCTAACTTTCTGCCAATAAGGACAGGATCTGTGCTGCTTATTTGATCATTTTATCAAAGTGTATTGTTTAAGTCAGAGGAATGCAGAAAATAAGTTATTTCAAAATCAGAATAAGCTTTATTATCATTGTACTGAAGTACAGTGAAATTATGTTCGTACAGTCGTCTGAAAGGTGGGTGGAGTGCACGTTGCTGCTGCTCCTTGAGCGCGCGACCCCTTATCCTTTCCAGAATACATTTTAGATAGAAAAGGGGGAAAAGGCCGTGAAGAGAGGTAAGTGGCATTACAAAAAAAATCTCTTCACATCTTGGCCTGTCAGTACACGATTTAAGACATAAAAACTACCAGCAAGAACATTTATAAACATGTTACATGTGCATTTGACAACAAGACGGTGAGATTTGTCCATGAAGCACTTCCAGATAGGCCAAAGTCCTGATAAGATGTTGGTGTCAGCCGGTACAGCTCTGATAAGCCTTCACAGACATTCTCGGGGTGTGTGTGTGTGTGGGGGGGGGGGGGGGGTTGCGATAGACAACGTTTTTCCTTAGTTTACACATATCCCAGGATAAATTTGATAAGTCGGCCTGTTTTTGAGGCCAACTGGGGCTGTCAGATTCAGATAAGCCACAATTGTTAATTTTTTCAGGCCAACTGTTTTTTCTCGTCAGCATCCTGTTGGTACTTTCAAGATCCAAAATGGCCAGATTAGTGGGCATTCCACTGGTCCGTGCTTATGAGCCCCCTCCAAGGTCGTCCCCAACATGCTGGCGAGTCCCAGAAGCCGCAGGTGGCCTGCGATTCTCACAAATCGCTTCCATCTTACGGTTTACTCATAAATCAGCTGATTTTGAGTACTCGAAGCACGAGCTAAACCTTCACACAGACTCTGCAGTTTTGCCATGGTCGAAACTGCTGCTGCCGTCTTCTTTAATAGGCGATAACATGAGAATCTGTCGATGCCAGAAAGCAGAAACCCTGCTGTTTATTACAAAACCAACATTTCATCTGTAAAAATCTGAGAAATCCTGAGATGCCAGCGTTGGGTAGCAGCTCTAAGACGGTGCAGAATAAAACGTCAGATATCGAACTCAAAAACACTTAAAAAACTTCTCAGCCATATTTGATGAATGATTAAGCAGCTGAATACATTTTGTTTTATATGGAATTCTTCAGCCCAACTTTTAGTGTATAGATAAATTATTGAGAAGTTTTAAGGTCCTGTGTGAATCTTGGACTGACCGGCTACAGGAACCTTGTGTAAGAGGTTGTGAGCCGTCATCCTGTTATCTTTATTTGCACACACTGGTGTCGGTGTGGTGGACACGTAGGAGCAACTCAGAAAAAACTGTATTGATCAAACAGATGTGGCCTTACCGTTTGTTCACTGTGATAACATTTTCAAAGCCCCAGGTTGGAGCTTTCAGTATTGCCTTACGAGGGTTTTTCCCTTTTTATTGCTTTTGATATTGTTCCCTTTTGCTCTACAATCTTCCCTCAAAGGCCAAGTGTTGCTTTGGTTCGTTACAGAAAAGGACCAGCGACTGTCGGGAAGAAAAGATAAACTTTTCTGTCTCAACACGTCGTTTCTTCCAGTTTTTATTCTGCTCTTTAAACCTTCTCTTTGCCATCTGACATAAACACACCAGAAAGATATGCATGCAAGACGACCACGTCAAGTTTTCTGTGAGGTTTAAATTAAAAGTGTTTCTATATAAACTGCACCATGTGCTGCTGCTCTTTGTAAATCCTGCTAAGCTGTCCTCTTCCTCCTCCTCCTCCTCCTCCCACGATAGTTTTTGGAAACTTTGCTCAGTTTGTCAGCCACTGTAGCAGACGGACACGGTCCAGTGGCTGTTTGTGGCCCCCCGCCAGCACGGGCTCAGGAACACGTTGTTCCACGAGGTTATGCAGCTTCCTTCATGTGACATGATGTTGCACTTTGCCTCTCTCTGCAGTCTTTTACTTCGTTAGAACGGAGGCTGAACAGATTCAATTGTTTTGTTTTGCACATTTGAATTACTGCAGTGAAAGACAAACCATTTCCTTTGGTTACTTTTTTACATGGACCATCTGTGCGTTTGACCCTGGAAGGTTTATTTTAAGTTTGACTCTGCAGTCATCCGTGCGATGTTCTCTGAGCACGGCAGGGAAACATGCAGACACACAACAGCTTTGTTTTAGGCAGCAGTTCTGAAAAACACATTTTTACAGTATTATTAAGCTTATACAAACTTTTGTTTTTGAGTGGTGTTAAATAAAATTATCACGTGAACTTTTGTACTCTTCCTGAGTTGTAGGCTTCATTCTCTGATGCTGCACTTCTCAATAACTTTATGAGGTTTACTACTGACATTATGCCGTTTACTTAATAAGCTGAGACCTGTTTGCTTTCAGGTAGATCGTTGCTACAGTGGTGTGCTTGCAAATGCACAAAGTTCCCACCAGCTCGTCCTTATGGTATCTACAAACGCTTATTACGATGAACTGAAGGTTTAAAATAGAAGCTAAAGACAAGCCTGCCTGGGTACGACCTGTGGACAGGTACAGGGTTCACAATGATTGGAGGCAGATGATCCACTGATAAGAAGGCAGCTGAAAAACAACGACGACGACTTTCCAGGAGCAAAACTAGCTGACTCATCATGCGATCAGCCAGCTGAGAAACAAATGTCCTGTCAAAACTTAAAAGATACCATGTTTACTAATGTAGTTGTTCCCAACCATGGTCCTTGAGGAACACCATTCTGCATGTTTCAGTTGTTTCTCTGCTCCAGCACACCTGATTTGAATGAAAGGTGATTAATTAAATCAGGTGTGTTGGAGCAGGGAAACAACTAAAACCTGCAGGATGGTGTTCCTCAAGGATCAACGATGGGAACCACTGAAGGAAACCACCTCTTCATAAGCACCTTTTATTACCACTAAATGGAAGACTTTATTTCTCCACACATTTGCCCTGGAACGTTTTTGCTTGTTGACTGACGAGCACGAGAAAAACCAGATGAACCTGTTGGGAGGGGGGTGGGGGGTGGGAGGTGAAGACTTTAACAAATGGGATAAAAACAATAAGGTTTTGATTTAAAAATAAATCTATTTTAAAGTGGACCTTCTGATAAATCTTGACAATAATGTTTTAAAAAAGTCTGTTCTTACAGAGGAACCTTTGTTGTGAGGGAGCTGAGAGCACTGGACCGTGTCCAGGGCTGGGTTGGTGTAATCCACTGGAAAAGCAAGCACTTAATGTGAAGTAGTTGGTCCAAGTGTGTGTTGTAAAAAAAAAATATATATATATATATATATATTTAGAGTTTAAGAGCATGCATCAAGGCTGGTTGCCAGGTAAATATGGATCCTCTTTGGCACAAAGCAACACGGCACAGAGTCAAGTTGGTCATCATTGAAAAGGTGAAAAATAACCCAAAAAGTATGCATGGAGACCCCATGTGAGTTCACGAGAGGCTAAAGCAGCTTCTGAAGAAGGATCAAAGAGTTCCACCTGTCTGCTGAACTTTGCATGTTAAAAACTGAACATTCATCTGATTGGGCATCAGATGTCTGACTTTTCCCAAGGATTTTACTCCAGTTGTGTTTGTAGCTCAGACAAAAAAAACAACAACAAAAAAAAATAAAACAATAATAAGCTTTTGTGGATTATCTACACTCTCCAGCTGGCAGCAAAGTCCTTTTCCACATCGTGTTTCTGCAGCATCACCATAGTCTCCAGTTCCATCAGTACAGCATCCCCTCGGGTTCTAATAATAAATATCTCTTCATGGGTGAGGGCAGAGGCAGCTGTTGAACTCCTCTCTGACAAAACCCACGCAGACCGGCTCTGATGGCGCATCGGGTGAGATGAAGCAGGCTGCGAGGTGTGTTGGTGCAAACGGCAAACACAGAGTCATAGAAATCTTTATGTTGCTGTCAGGACACAAAGAAACAAACGTTTGGCTCATTCAAGGACAAGATGACCGTTATGATTCTCAAGGGGCCCTATGAATTTACTTTTTGTGGACAAGCTTTGTTTCACAGCGCAGTATTTCATTTATTCAACTCATACAAATATAAATTATATTAAGGCCTATCATTCTTACACAAACACTATTAAGACCTAAGCATATGAATACCTTGTAGCAGTCGTCTGGGATAGCTTCTCTCCATTTCCTTGTTGGCTTTAAATGTTCGTAGGAGTTGACCATGATTTCTACAACCTTAGGGTAGTCGTGGCAAGACTGCAACACCTGGTAAAAACATTTCAAATCAAGACCTCACCAAGAACAGAAGTCCAGCAAAGGCCTTTCGTTTCCAACAAATACTGTAGCTTGAAGCAGAAACTAACTCTAGTCTAAGTTTTATACCTTGTGGAACTGTGGAGGGTAGACCCGTGCTGCGTTGTGGTTCAGCAGCTGCTGATAGCAGAGCTCAGGAATGGCCATAAGCCTGACATTTGTTACTTTGAGGAGATACTGAATGGGGGCGCAGCCGTTGATGTCCATGGCTCGTGCATCCGCCCCGGCCTCCA